TGTAATGATGAAGTTTAATTGCCAAAATGTTTACTTATTTGACAAATCTGTGTCAGGTATCTCCTATATGCCAGGCAATGTGCTAGGTAAATTAAACAGACAATATTATTTTCCGCAAGGAACTTAAGTTTAGAAGATGTTTGCAAGATAAATAGGCTATTATGAACATTTATTGGGTATTTACTAAGTGATGAGGACTGTGCTAGGTTTTGGCTTTTGAACTGAGTATACAAAGATGTATAAAGGCAAAATATAATCTTTTAAGGAGATCACATACTAATGATGATGACAGGTACATATATAAATACATTTTAATGTGTGTATGCAATGTGATCTGATAGAAGTATGGACCAAGTACCATGAAAATTAAGAGAAAGGACAATGTAATTCTACATTAAAGGAAGTGTGGGTGGCAAAAGTAGGCATGACCAAGGAAAAAGGAAAATATGGGATGTGATGATGGAGAGTAAACATTTGCTGGATGAACAAAGCATTACTAGAGGAGGGAGCAGCTCATGAATTGTCACTGAAATATGAAAAAGTCATAGGGTGTTTAACATATGTGAGTGTTGTTGTTGTTATTTGCTGTTGAGTCGTTTCCAACTCACTGCTACCCTATGCACAGCAGAAGGAAACACTGCCTGATCCCACACCAGCTCCATGATCCTTGCTATACTTGAGCCCATTGTTGAAGCCATGGTATCAATCCATCTCGATGAAGGCCTTCCCCTCTTTCATCAACCCTCCACCTTACCAAGCATGGCATCCTTCTCCAGGAATGGTTCCTTCTGACAACAGGACCAAAGTAGGTGAGATGAAGTCTGGCTATTCTCACTTCCAAGGAGCATTTTGGCTGCACTTTCTCCAGGACAGATCTGTTAGTTCTTTTAGCAGTCCACGGTACTTTCAGTATTCTTCACCAGCACCACAACTCAAAAGCATCAACTCTTCTTCGGTTTTCCTTATTCATTGTCCAGCTCTCACATGCAAATGAGGCAACTGAAAAGACCATAGCTTGTGTCAGGCACACCTTAGTCCTCAAGAAGACATCCTTGCTCCTCAGCACTCGAAAGAGTTCCTTTGCAGCCGACTTGCCCAGTGCTATACGTTGTCTAATGTCCTGACTGCTGCTTCTGTTGGCGCCGATTGTAGAATCAAGCAATGTGAAGTCTTTGACAACCTCAATCTTTTCTACATTTATTGTGATGCTCCTTATTATAGGTCCAGTTGTGAGGATTTTTGTTTCCTTTATGTTGAGATGTAATCCATACTGCAGACTGTATTCTTTGATCTTCATCAGTAAGTGCTTCAAGTCATCCTTACTTTCAGCAAGCACAGTTGTGATTTTAGTATATCACAGGTTGTTAATGATTCTTCCTCCAATCTTGATGCCACATTCTTCTTCATATAGTCCAGCTTCTTGGATTATTTGCTTAGCATATAGATTGAATAAATATGGGGAAAGGTTACAATCCTGACACACTCCCTTCTTGACTTTAAATTATGCAGTGTCCCCTTGTTCTATTTGAACGACAGCCTCCTGGTTCTTCATGAGTATAATCAAGTGTTTGGGAATTCCCATTCTTCTCAATGTTATCCACAAATTTGTCATGATCCACACAATCAAATGCCTTTGCACAGTGAATAAAACATCTAGTAAACATCTTTCTGGTATTCTTTGCCTTGAGCCAAGATCCATCTGACAACAGCTATG